TAGTCACAGCATACATGGCAGCAAGGATAGCATCAAAGTCAAGATCAAAGATAGCTACGCCAGCCCTAGACAGCTCTCCCCAACGGGGAATCTCACTAGCCTCGGGGAACTGCTGACGCCAAGCGTCCGTCAGGCGGCCAAAGCAGCGCTGGGTGGGGTGGGCACCCCCACACTGCTCACCCGCGCGGTCGCCGGAACGAAGGACGTAGGTGCACGGACCAAAACCCCCACCCCGCTGACGCTGCGTGTACCACTCACGGAGCTGCTGGGGCGGGGGGATGTCCCGCGAACGCTGCTGCTGCTGCTGCTGCTGACGCTGGCCACCACCAGAGCCGCTACGCTGCGGGGCACCACCCCGACCAGCTCCACCCCTTCCGCCACCGCCGCCTCCACCTCCACCACCACCGCTGCCTCCGCTCCCACCGCTGCCGCCACCACCGCCTCCTCCTCCGCTGCTGCCACCGCCACCACCGCCCCCGCCACCACTCCCACCGCCACCCCCACTCCCTCCGTCACCTCCACCGCCACCTCCACCGCCCCCGCCAGTTCCACCCGCGCCCTTGCCCCCCTTGCCCCTGCCAGGGCGGCGTCTCCCGCTAGGGGCAGACGCCGCGCAGACCGACTCAAGACCAAGCAGGTCGGCAGCAGCAGCAGAGGCAACAGAGGGCAGCAGGGGGGAAGGAGAACACCCCTCAAAGATGGGGGTGCGAGGGTCACCACGAGAGGCTCCTACAGCGACGATGCTCTTCTCCGCCGCCAGGAGGGACTTCTCGAGGAGGTCGACAGTGAGAGTGGTGGGACAGACTGAGAGGAAGTGGTCCCTGACTACGCGAAGGGAGTCAGGGAGGCGTGTGACTATGTAATAGAGAGTGATGTACATGGGGGGGGGGTTCTTGGCGCAGAACTCAGCAGGAAGGGCGGTGCGGTAGCGAGTGTCACTAGTGCGGAGGTGCGTAATGAGGTCAGCGACAGTGGGAAAGGCAGCAAGGTCAGGAAAGAGGTACGGTAGCATGAGGCGGCTCAGGGCAGCAGTGGCAGGGGAAGAGTAGCGCGCAACTACAGCGTCGTACAAGGTCTGAGCACTCTTGTACTGACTAAAGTGCGCGCGCTCAGTGGTAGGCAGGTGGCGACGCACAGCAAGACGTGCAGCAGCATCGCGCGTGGCCCACTGAGAGCGAACAGTGGGGTCAGCATCAGCAGCAGGGGCAGGAGAGGCGCCAGAGGTGAGGTCAAAGAGGGAAAGACCGTCCGCCCTATCGCACTGTAAGAACAGCTGCAGGTCGTCGACCCAGACCTCAAAGTCAATGGCTCGACCCTCAGCGTCAAAAGCGAGGACACTAGGGGTAGCCATGACGACAACAGTGTAGTAGTGCAAGCAGTAGGGGAAGGGCACGCAGTAACAGTGGTGCTGTGCTCACCAGGCAGGGCAGGTCGGGCGGCTCGGCAGTAGGGCGGCCCGGCGGCTGGGCGGCTCGGCGGCTCGGCTGCTGGGCGGCTCGGCTCCCGGGCGGCTCGGCGGCAGGGCGGCTCGGCGGCAGGGCGGCTCGGCGGCAGGGCGGCTCGGCGGCTCGGCTCCCGGGCGGCTCGGCGGCAGGGCGGCTCGGCGGCAGGGCGGCTCGGCGGCTCGGCTGCTGGGCGGCAGGGCGGCTCGGCGGCAGGGCGGCTCGGCGGTCGTAGGCGGCGGGGCCGGTGAGGATAGGCGGCGGGGCCGGTACCGTAGGCGGCGGGGCCGCGAAGTGGGGCGGCGGGGCCGCGTAGGTGAGGGCGGCGGGGCCGCGAAGTGAGGGCGGCGGGGCCGCGACGTGAGGGTGGCGGGGCCGCGAAGGTGAGGGCGGCGGGGCCGCGTAGGCAAGGGCGGCGAGGCCGCGACGTGAGGGCGGCGGGGCCGCGACGTGAGGGCGGCGGGGCCGCGTAGGTGAGGGCGGCGGGGCCGCGTAGGCAAGGGCGGTGGGGCCGCGACGTGAGGGCGGCGGGGCCGCGACGTGAGGGCGACGGGGCCGCGACTTAAGGGCGGCGGGGCCGCGTAGGTGAGGGCGGCGGGGCCGCGACGTGAGGGCGGCGGGGTCGCGACGTGAGGGCGGCGGGGCCGCGTAGGCAAGGGCGACGGGGCCGCGACGTGAGGGCGGCGGGGCCGCGACGTGAGGGCGGCGGGGCCGCGACTTAAGGGCGGCGGGGCCGCGTAGGTGAGGGCGGCGGGGCCGCGACGTGAGGGCGGCTGGGCCGCGACGTAAGGGCGGCGGGCTCGCGTAGGTAAGGGCGGCGCAACGGGCCGCTAGGGGCGACACGGAGGGTCGCTAAAAAAAAGAAAGCGCGCCTCGGGGCGCGCTTCGGTGGGCCCTAGAAACAGTCCCTAGGAGGGGACCTGCTCTGATTCCATGTGGAGAGAAGAACGCGAATGAATGAACTATGAATGAAGTGAGTACATATAGGAAACCCTAATTGGGTTGTACCCCCTATGGGATACCCCACTATAGCCTACACAACAGCATAAGCTATATAATGTTCTGACAGGCGGGTCATCGGAAGGAAACTTCCGAGAAACTTCCTTTCGATAAGTCGGGGAAAACCGTATTCTCCCGGACAAAGCACCCCCCCATAATTGTACACCCCCGGGTAGCTTGTGCGGGGTGGGTGTTATGGGGAGCCTCGTTTCTACTATACCCCCCTTTTGGGCTGATTTTCTATAACACCCCCCTTTTCTTACGAATTCGTTATAATAGTCGTTAACGAGTAGCTGCAATATTGAAGAATATCGCGAAAATTTCTCCCTAGATGAAATTTCGCGGTACATTCACTTACAATCTACCGAGATTTCCCCCCTCGCACTACTTCGCTGTGACCACGTGCAGGCGAATCTTCCGCTGCAAGTGGCAAGAGAGGTGCCACATGGCATTTTCGTGGGGGTGATAAAGCTCGTGGCCGAAACCCACATTCGCGCCTCAGACAGTGATGTTAAAATGAAAATCAAAACACCCACATTGTCTAATTAAATAAACACTAACACTAAAATATACCATATGTAAAGACCCGGGTATTATGTATTTTTTTCCTATGAGGAGACCCCCCCCATTTTTTCCCTGTATTTTTAGCTATACCCTAGGGTGCTATGTCCGGGAGAATACGGAATATCCCCACTCTCCATAAAGTCTCGAAGTTTCGATCAGTACGAAGTTTCGAAGAAACTTCGTCTCGATAATGCGGGAAGGGGGGGGATTACGCACATGTGGGGGGATCACTGCGATCAATCCAAGGCGGGGTCATCGGAACGAAACTTCCGAGAAACTTCCTCTCGATAAGTCAGGGTCCACACAGTCGATACTCTGTTAAGTCAGGGTCCACTAACAGCCTAGTTTGTTACACTGTACTCAAAATCAGGGATAGCTAAACTATTACTCTGATTGGATCAGGGCTGGAAATTCAATAACTCTGAAATTTCAGTCTCCACGAAGTGGAAAGCCTGAAATCACCCTGAAATCAGGGTAATTACCCTGATAAAATCAGCCCTGGTAGAAGTGATGAGAATACGTTGATAGGGCTATTGATTTTTTCATTGGAGGGTCTGCCCACTTTCACAAGGACTCCAATTTTTCATTAAGTTTGTCCATTGCTGTTTAAGTTTTCATTTTCACACACACGTTTTTATTTCTGCGGCAGCGCTGCTCCGTAGTGAATTACGCAATGGCGCGTTTCAGCCCTTGCGTTTCCCGTGTCACTTTCCGTCGAGTAGAGACGGAATCCGTCGACGGGGACGGATTTCCTCGACGAGAAAAGGGGGCGAGGGGGGAGCGGGTGGGGTCAACGCCAGCTCGAGCGGGGACCACCTCGCGTCACTCCGAGCTGGCGGGGGTCGTTTTCGGGCGGGCGGGGGGGTCGGCTCCCGCCCCTCGCGTGCGCCGCTAGGCGACTGCGGGAAAACGCAAATCCCTCCGGGGAAATCCCGCAGGGGCAAAAGCGGGTTCCCGGAGGGATTCGGGTGATATCTTCCCTGATGAGGCAGGCTTCGCTTGGACAACCACAGTCTCACAACTTTCGTTGGTCTGCGATGCATTGCGAAATTTTCAGCGACATCTTTTTTTCACCCTCTATGAGTTGAAACTTTGTTTGAATACCCTTAGCTTTCATTCCAAACACGTTTCTCTTCATCCGTTTCTTCATCCTCGTTCCAGGATTCACAAAGAAAGCTGCTTCTTGCTCTCCTCCCGTTCTTCGCGGGACCAGTCTCACACGTAAATCAACCAGCGCGATCCTCTTAACACGGATATCGATGTCGTCTCTAGCGGAGTACTTAAAGCGATACACGTCGGATGGGCCAGCGGGGGGCGAGGAGAAGAAGAAGAAGAAAAAGAAAAAGAAGGGCGCCGCAACGGCGAAGAACGCGGGAGGGCTCGTGTTAGTGGACGCTGACGCCACGTGGCAGAAGCCGATTGGCGAAGAGGCCGATGAGGAAGAAGATGAGGTTAGTGCGCTGTTGGATCGAAAAAGCGACGATGAGAGATCACCACGCGGCCACAGTCGCGGGTGTCGCGTCTAGACAGCAGCATTAAAGAAATTCGATGGGGCTAGATTGGTCTCCGTTCAGTTCGGTTGAAGCTTCCACTGAATGTCTCGTGAAACCGATTTTCCATGCTTACTTTTGTCAAACCTTTTCCTGGGAACATGTCCTACCAGCCCTTGTTTGATCTGCATCACCAAACCCATCCTCCGAACCTGCGTGCAGCCAGTAGCCGATGCTCCCCAGGTGGAGGAGGACGTGGAGGTTCGGCGACAGCGGCGCCTGGAAGAGGCTCGGAAGCGAGAGCTGGAGGTTCGGGAGGATGGGAGCGGATGGGTGACTGTGGATCGGACACAGGCACGTGGAGGGGGAGGGGGGAGAGGAAATGGGGAAGGAGAGGCAGGGGGTATGGGAGGGGTGGTTGAGGGCGGCAGGAGGGGAAGACATGACAGCCCGGACCTCTCTCCCCCTCGCCGAGCCAGACACGACTCCCCAGACCTGTCCCCTCCTAGGCGCCGAACCAGAGAAGACTCTCCGGACCTGTCGCCTCCTCGCCGAGGCAGGAGAGGGCGGCATGACAGCCCTGACGGGGATGAGGGGGGCGGCAGGCGAGACGGAGGAGGGGGGAGAGAGGAGAGAGAGGAGAGGTGGGGCAAAGACAGGGATAGGGGAAGGGTGGGAAGAGATGGTGGTGGAGGGAGGAGAGGGGATTCGCCCGACCTGTCACCCCCTCGGAGGGGCACAAGGGGCTCACCGGACCTGTCCCCGCCTCGGAGAAGAAAAGCCCAATCATCTGATCTTTCCCCCCCTCGCCGAGCCAGGCATGACTCACCGGACCTGTCTCCTCCCCTCCGAGCCAGAGCCGTTCCGCCAGACCTGTCGCCTCCTCGAAGGGGCAGAAAGGGCTCACCGGACCTGTCTCCCCCACGCCGAACCAGAAACGATTCACCAGACCTGTCTCCTCCTCCCCGAGCCAGGCATGGCTCGCCAGACCTGTCCCCACCCCGCAAGAACAGGAAAATCCCGTCCCCGGACCTCTCCACACCCCGCCGCCAAACCAGACAGGGCTCACCGGACCTGTCCCCGCCTCGTCGCCGAACCAGGCAAGCGTCCCCGGACCTGTCTCCACCCCGACGCCAAGCCAGGCAGGCCACCCCGGACCTCTCTCCCCCTCGACGCCGAGCCAGGCAAGACTCGCCAAACCTCTCCCCACCTCGTCGACGAGCCAGACAAGACTCGCCGGACCTGTCCCCGCCGCGAAAGGGATCGGGGAGACAGGCCGGGGCGGCAGGGCAGGGTGGGGGGAGCATGTGGAAGGGGGGTGCGGGTAAGGCGGAACGAATGACAGATGGGAGCCTGGCGGGGCTGAGGAGCGGCAAGGAGGTGATGGCTGAGGCGGAGGAGAAAAGAGCCAAGGACGAGGCCAGGTGAGAGTTGGGTGGGGAGGAGGGGGGGAGGGGTTGGTCTTTTCAGCAGGGCTGAGGAGTGGCAGAGAGATGATGGGCGAGGCTGAGGAGAAACAACAAGGACGAGGCCAGGTGAGAGTTGGGTGGGGAGGAGGGGGGGAAGATGGAAGGGTAGGGCAGGGGAGGGAAGGGTAGGGCAGGTGAGGGAAGGGGAGGGCAGGTGAGGGAAGGGGAGGGCAGGTGAGGGAAGGGGAGGGCAGGTGAGGGAAGGGGAGGGCAGGTGAGGGAAGGGGAGGGCAGGTGAGGGAAGGGGAGGGCAGGTGAGGGAAGGGGAGGGCAGGTGAGGGAAGGGGAGGGCAGGTGAGGGAAGGGGAGGGCAGGTGAGGGAAGGGGAGGGCAGGTGAGGGAAGGGGAGGGCAGGTGAGGGAAGGGGAGGGCAGGTGAGGGAAGGGGAGGGCAGGTGAGGGAAGGGGAGGGCAGGTGAGGGAAGGGGAGGGCAGGTGAGGGAAGGGGAGGGCAGGCGAGGGAAGGGGAGGGCAGGTGAGGGAAGGGGAGAAGGATTGAGAGATAGATGTGTAGGGTGGTGAGTGTGGGCACGTTCCTCATGCGATTGTTGTCGCAGGTGAGGCAGGCCGCAGGACGGGAGAGAAAGGTCTGATTCAAGAGGCGCTTGCGTGACAGCAGCACATGAGATGTGTGGGGACGGGAGAAGCATCATTACCTGATTGCACTCCTCCCCTCTCCTCCCCTCTCCTCTCCTCTCCTCCCCTCTCCTCCCCTCTCCTCCCCTCTCCTCCCCTCTCCTCTCCTCTCCTCCCCTCTCCTCCCCTCTCCTCCCCTCTCCTCCCCTCTCCTCCCCTCTCCTCCCCTCTCCTCCCCTCTCCTCCCCTCTCCTCCCCTCTCCTCCCCTCTCCTCCCCTCTCCTCCCTCTCTTCCCGTCTCCTCCCCCTTCTTCCCCTCTTCTCCCCTTTCGTCCCCACTCGTCCCCTCGCTCTCTCTGCCTTTCTGCCTCAGGTTCGCCCAGCTGGATCCGTCCATCAGTGGACGGGGGGCGCAGACTGTGTACCGCGACAAAGAAGGTGGGGGGGATGAGGGGGGGGGGGGAGGGCAAGTGTGTTCGGGAGGTAAGGGGGAGGGGGCGGGTGGGAGGGAAAAGCTTGCATGTTCAGAAGGGCTCAAGGCAGGGGGGAAGGGCGGGTGGGGCAGGTTCGCCCAGCTGGATCCGCCCATCAGTGGCAGAGGGGCGCAGACTGTGTACCGCGACAAAGCAGGTGCGGTGGGGGAAGCAGGCGGAGAAATGAGGGGAGGGAAAAGGCGACAGTACTGGGAAAAAATCAGGTGCAGTGCGGGATGGAGTATGAGCGGTGTTGGCTCGACACGATTTTATAGATCCATTTGACCTGACAATAACGTACGACGCCAGTGGGGGGTCAGTAACGATCTCGAGCACTCCCCTCCTCCTCATGACGTTCTCAATTCTACGTCCTGATGTTCCGGTTGTACCCTCCTTATATTACGCCCAAGAAATTGCTCCGCCTTGTGTGTCTTCCCCATGTGTATGCTATGCTTGTGGCTGTGGGTGCATGCATCTAGTGTGGGTGTGCTGAGGTGGGTGTACCGATGTGGGTGTGCTGAGGTGGGTGTACCGATGTGGGTGTGCTGATGTGGGTGTACCGATGTGGGTGTGCTGATGTGCATGTGTGTGTGCATGAGTGGGTGGGTGTGCACGTGGCAGGCAAGCGAGTGAGCAATCTGGAGGCCATCATGGCGGAGGAGAAGGCCAAGAAGAGCCGCGTGAGTCATGAGGAGGGGAGGGGTGGGGAAGGGGAGGGGAGGGAAGGGGGAGAGGAAGGGGAGGCGAGATTGGGGGAATTGCACTGTAAGGCACACATGAGTTGGCGAGGCCATCATGGCGGAGGAGAAGGCCAAGAAGGGCCGCGTGAGTCACGGGGAGGGGAGGGGGGAGAGAGTGGAGGAAAGGGGGACGGGGCTTGGGGAGGGGCGTGGGGAGGGGTGTGGGGAGGGGCTGGGGGAGGGGCAGGGGAGAGGGGGGCTGGGGTGGTGGGGAGTGGTGGAGTTGAAGGGGTGGGGGGAGGGGGGAGGGGTGTGGGGGGGGGGGAGGGTGAGGGGTGGGGGGAGGGTGAGGGGTGGGGGTGGGGTGAGGGTTGGGGGGAGGGTGACGGGTGGGGGGAGAGGCGTGTGAGTTCATGAGGCGGTAATGGCGGAGGAGAGTTGAGTGGTTGGGGCATGGCGGGAGGGTGGGGACAAGTGGGGTGGAGGGAAATGCGTTTGACCATCGATGTTGCGCCTTGTCTTATTTGAGTGTGGGTTTAGAGCAGGGGAGAGGGGGCGAATAAGCAGGGGAGGGGGTGGGGGGAGGAACGAGAAGGGGGGGATGCGGAGATAACTACTACAACGGGAGCTAGGCTACGGGCTAGCACGGGTGCTCGTGTGATCTCTGCGTCCGTTGGTCCTTAGTCGTTTTCCTAGTGCACACACAGCTCGCTAGTTCACAGGGAGAATTGGCAAGAGTTTCATTAGAGAAAGTTGACAACAATGGTACAATCAGGTTGGCAAGACAAGACTACATCAGAGCTAGCATTCAGGTCGGTCGACTGCCAGCGCAGCATGGTCGACCGCGTTCCAGCAGTGCAAAGTCGACGGCGTGCCAACGCTGCAGGTCAACGGCGTGCCAGCGTTGCTCCCGCAGAGCAGCAGCGCACCAGCTTCGCAGGTGCTCGCAGATGATTGGCGTGCTGAGCCTCGTCACCTGCACAACGCACACACCAAGTCATCCTCGTGCTGACGACTCCACCTGATCCACCACGTCGACCTCGGGATACCACCACCGAGGTCAGTCTCGCCAACATCGCCTGGGCGACCGTCGCACTCTTCTGCAGAACCTTGCTACCCCAGGTAACCACGTCGACCAGGTGCTCCTGTATGTGCCCGTCGACCTCCCAAGTCGACGACCACCTCCATTCGACCTCACCAGGTCGACCACACCCCTGGTCGACCAGGCCCAGGTCGACGTCACTCCTGGTCGACCAGCTCCACGTCGACCAGCACAGTCGTCAGCTGACCACCCAAGTCGGCTGCCAGAAGTCGGCGTCACCAAATCGGCGCCGACTTCCGGGCCGACCTCTTGAAGTCGGCGACCTTGCAAGTCGGTGACCTTGCAAGTCGGTGACCTTGCAAGTCGGTGACCTTGCAAGTCGGCGACCTTGCAAGTCGGTGACCTTGCAAGTCGGCGCCGACTTCCAGGTCGACGTGCCATATCACCGACCACCAGTTGAAGTCGTCCGCCGGCTTCCGAAGTCGGCGGCATTGCAGTGGCCCCGTGCAAGTCGACCAACCCCGTCGACCAGCTCGCCCAAGTCGGCGTCGCCCACTGCTACAAAGTCGGCTCCGCCCAAGCGAGGACGGGGGCCAACACACAACTCCCGTTGACACTCCCCTGCCGCGTTCACGCTTGGACCCCCAGCCCACACGGCAGTACTCCACAGAGAATAGCTCGTCGACGTGCACCCAACACACAGCACGTCGTCCACCGCACCAGCCATGCAAGAGGGCATGGCACCTACTGCTGCACTTCGTCAACTTCGTCGCCCACGTCGGCCAAGCGCACCTGGCCGATGGCGAGGGAGCACCGGTTGAAGGCTGGATAGTGCAGCGCCTTCGTCAGGAAGTCGGCCGGCTGCTCAGCGGTTGGGATGTACCTCAGCGAGAACTTCCCGCGCTTTACCATGTGCTGCAGCCAGGCCTGTCGCCGCTCCATGTGCTTGAGGTTGCCCGTCAACCCCATGCCCTCGGCGTCTGTGATGGCCGACTTGTTGTCCACCCTGAGAATGGTCGGCTTCCCAGCATCCAGCTGCTGGAATTCTGCGAGGAGGAAGCGAAGTCGACGTCCCTCCTTCCCGGCTTCCGTGGCCGCCACATACTCCGACTCGGTCGACGACAACGTCGCGCACTTGATGCGTTGGCTCGACCAGGAGACTGCGGCCCCTCCGTAGACGAACACGTAGCCGCCCGTGCTCGTTCTGTTTTGCTTGTCACCGGCGTCGTCGGCGTCCACGTAGCCGACCAGCTCCAGCGACTCAGGTCCACCGCTGAACTCAAGGGCGGTGTCACGCGTGTTGGCGAGATAGGCGAGGCAGCGGTCGACCTCGCGCCAGTGCTGGTCGCTCCTCACCGTGAGGCCGCTCCCCAGCTTGCTGCAGGCGAAGGCGACGTCCGGCCTCGTCGTTGTCGCCGCAAACTGCAGCGAGCCAACCTTCTGCCGGTACACCTCCTCCTGTCGCTCCTGCGCCTCCTCGTCGTCAAAGGTGAGCTCGGCGTAGGCGTCGACCGAGACCGGCGTCTTCGGGGTGCGCCCGGTCTGCTCCTCGTCGATGAAGCGCCTACGCAGCTTGTCGGCGTAGCCTTGCTGGTGCAGCCACAGCTTCCCCGCCGACCTGTCGCGGACGATCTCCAGCCCGAGGTACTTCTGCACCGGCGAGATCTCACGCAGCTCGAAGGCAGACTCCAGCAGCTCCTTCAGCTCCTTCAGCATCTCGGTGCTGCTGCTGGCGGCAAGCAGGTCGTCGACGTAGACCAGCACCCAGCAGGCCACTCCGTCCTTGCCAACCTTGAAGTACAGAGCCTTGTCAACCTGGCTCTTCTTCCACCCGGCGCCGACCAGCACGTCGTTGAGCGCCAAGTACCACAGCAGCGGCGACTGCTTCAGGCCGTACAGGCTCTTCAGCAGCTTGCACACCCGGCCGGTTCCATCGTTGAAGTAGTCCGGCTGGGACATGTAGAGCACCCGGTCGAGCTTGCTCTGCAAGAAGGCGTTCTTCATGTCGAGCTGCATCAGGTTGAGGTTGAGGACGGCGGCAATGCTGAGGAAGATCCTCAGCGTGACGTAGCTGCCCACCGGCGCGAACGTCTCGTCGTAGTCAGCACCGTACACCTGCGTGAAGCCCTTCACGACCAGTCTCGCCTTCTCGCGCTCGACGGTGTCGTCGACGTGGTACTTCGTCGTCAACACCCACCGGTTCTTCATGATGTTGACCCCCGGTGGGCGTTCGACCAGCTCCCAAGTGCCCATGTTGATGAGGCTGCGGATCTCCTCCTCCATAGCGGCCTTCACCGCCGGGCCCTTCCAGCTCGCCAACGCCTCCTTCACTGTCATCGTCGAGATGTCCCAACGGTGTTCGGGGTCGGCCAGCATGTCGGGGTCGAGCTCCAGAAACTCCTCATCCTCCTCAGCGTCGTCGTACAGCAGGTCGTCGTCATCGTCCACGTCGTACACCGTGGTGAAGGCAGCGGGGACAAAGAAGTCCGGCGGCCTCCGAACTCTGTCCGACTTCCTGGGTTCCGGCCGAACTTCCACCACGTCACTCTTGGTGGACTCCCCGGCGTCCCCTGCTTCACTGCCCTCGTCGTCCTGCTGCACCGCGGTCGGCTTCCTGGCCGACCTCTCCCCTATGGTCGGCTTCCCTACCGAATGCTCGGTTGCCGACTGCTCCGTGGTCGGCTGCACTGCTGCCTGCTCCCCTGTCGGCTGCTGCTCTTTGACCTGTTCCTCCCCTATTGACGTTGGCTTCAATCCCACGTCGATCTGCCGCTCGTCGTGTCGGCCACCGGCGATGCCCTTGGTCGGCGCCAAAGGCGACGGCCCACTACTCCCCTCATCGCCGGAGGCCGACACCGAAGTCAACCCGCGCAGGTCGGCCAGGAGCGGAGGGGCAGGGGCCGTAGAGGGAGGGGTAGGAGGGCTGACGTCCTCGACGTCCTCAGCAGCAAGCTCACCGACCTCGGCGAGCAGAGGCAGCGTCGCCGACGAGGTGTCGGTCGGCGGGGTAGACGGCGTGCGGCCGGACACCGGCCCGTGCTCTGACTTCCACTCGGCCCACGACATCGCCTCGTAGAACACCACGTCCGACGTGGTGACTACCCGGTTGGCGTCGACGTCGAGGAGCTCCCAGCCCTTGCTCGCCGCCGACACACCAAGGTGAAGGCACCACCTGGCCTTCGGCTTCAGCTTCCCACCCCGCTGCTGCTCGGGGACAAGGAACTGCGTCATGCAGCCCCATATCCGCGCCAGCGACAAGTCGGGCCTCTGCCCGGTCAGCAGCTGGTACGGTGTCGTCCCAGGCGGCAGCGTGGACCGCTCAAGGCAGTTGCGGACCCAGACGGCCTGCCGCAGAGCGAGGTGCCACCAGTGGTGCTGGACGCCCATGTGCAGCAGCATTGTCCGCACCGACTCCACCACCGTCCCATCTCCCGTTCCGCCATGCCGTTCTGCTGCGGGGTGTATGGGCAGGTCAGGTCGTGGACGATCCCCTGTCCGTCCACGAAGTCGGTGAACTTCTTCCCGAGGAACTCCCCTCCTCGGTCCGAGCGCAACTGCAGCACCGACTTCTTCGTCTGCCTTTCCACCAACACCAGCCACTTCTGGAACTCCAGCAGCACATCCGACTTCTTGGCGACCGGCCTCACCCACATGAAGCGGGTCTTGCGGTCCTTGAGCAGCAGGAAGTACAAGCTGTCGTCCTTGGCAGCCACGCGGAACGGCCCGCACAGGTCGATGTGCACGACGGCCAGTACGTCGTTGGCGTCGGAGCCTTGGTCAGGGAAGGTGTGACGCGCCAGCTTCCCGCCGACGCACGAGACACACGGTGAGTCGGCGCCTGTCGCCGACTCGAGGTCCAGCCCAATGGCGACCTCGTTCTTCGCCGAGCTCCGGATGGTGTCCATGCCGACGTGCGCCAGCCTCGCGTGCATCCGGTCCGGCGTCGACTTCGTCTTCGAGACGATCGCCCGCAGAGCCACAACCTCCGGCGTAGGCGACGTCGACCTCGTGGGGCAGGGACGCAGGTCGGTGCAGAGGACCCGCCCGGAGTAAGTCGCCCGGCCGAGCACCTCCCCAGCCGCCGAGACGAGCAGCATGCCGTCCCCGTCCTCCTGCAGCTTCACGCCGTGCTCCTTCAGCTGGCCGGACGACAGCAGGTTCGCCCGCACACCCGGGACGTACAGCACGTCGGGGATGAGCACCCGCTTCCCAGCCTCTCCTTGCAGGGCAACGGTGCCACGGCCCTGGACGTCCTGCAGCGCCCCATTGAAGCCGTGCACATGCTTGATGGAGCCGCTCGGCTGCAGGTCGACGAAGACCTCCTTCGTCCCCATCAGGTGATGGGAGCAGCCGCTGTCGAGCAGGACCACCGCCGGGTTCGCCTGCACAGCTGCCGCCACCGCCTGGAAGTCCTCTCCGGCCTCCGGCGCCAACGAGACGGTCGGCTCCACGACGCCGACCAGCGAGCACGACGCCGTCTTGTCGTCCCGCACCTTGCCGCCTGCAGAGGAGTCGGCGTCCTTCGCCGAAGTCGACGTCTTGGTCGACTGCTTCTCCTTGCGCGGCTGGTTTCCTCCTCGACGAGGACGACGACTGCCAGACCTCCCGCGGCCTCCCTTGGTGTCGTCGTCGTCGAAGTCACTGCGGTCGGGGCACTCAAAGGAGAGGTGGTCGGGGTCGCCGCACAGCCAGCACTCCCGACGTCGACCTCCTCCTCCTCGACCGCTGTCCTTGGTCGGCTTCTTCTTGTCGACCTCCTTGGTCGACTTCCAGCCACTGCTACCACCGCCGCCAAACTGTCTGCGCTGCCCTGGTTGGCCTCCTTGCTTCGTCGGGGCGGCGAAGTTGGCCTGTGCCAAGAGCTCCTGGGACCGCTCGGCCTCCTGCATCGCCTCGTCCTGCAGGATGTACGAGGTCAAGTTGTCCTCGTTGAGCGTCGTCCTTGTGCCCGGCGCCATTGACAGCCGCTTCAGGAGGTTGTAGTTGCTCGACAGCCCCTGCATAACGTGGGTGACGTACGACGCCGTCGAGTACTGCGCGCCGGCCATCCTGATGGTGGCGAGAATTCGCCGGGTTCGGTTGCAGTAGTCAGTCGCCGTCTCCTCGTCGCCCATACGCAGGTGCGTCAGCTATCCCTCCAGCTGGGCGATGAACAGGTCGTCGGTGACTTGGTAGGTCGACTCAATGAAGTGCCACGCCTGGTGGCCGGCGTCGAGGTACTCCCGACACCATTTCAAGGCGATCTGCACGACTGGCGAGCAGCACCGCGAGATGACCATGAAAGTCAACAGCTGCACGGCGCGAAACTCCGCACGTAGGTCGGGGTCGTCCGGCGTCACCACGGCTCCTCGGGCAAAGTTGATCAGCCCGGCCATCTCCAGCTGGGGCTCGATGGCTTCCTTCCAAGTGAGAATGTCCTGTCGACCAACGAGCGGCGGGGTGACCAAGATCCTGTCCGGCGAGAATTTGAAGTAGCCGTAGCTCGGTGCAATCCCGCCCGCCGTCACCTGGGTCGCCGACATCGGCGACAATTCGCTTCGTCGTCCTCCGACGTCGCCCTGCGAGGAGCCTGCAGCCGCCGACGACTGCACCCCTCGCGCCTGAACGCCGCCGACTTCATCGGCGTGAATCACACCTCTCTGCCTCGACGTGCCTCCCGCACTGCTGCCGACTTGGCCACCTCCGACGTTGACGCCCACGTCGACGCCGCCTTCGTTGGTCACCGGTCGAGGAGAAGCAGGTCGAGAAGGGGAATGCTCCGCTGCCCACACAGAGTGGAGTCCAGCCTCGATGACCGCCCAGGGTATCACCCCGTACTCCTGGGCCTCATGGCGTCTCCTCGCATCCTCCAGCCGTCCCTCCAGGGTGTCCATCACCTTGGTGTCTCCTACGCGCACGTTAGGGACTGTACGGCTGCCGGCCTACAAACAACTTAGGTAAGTGACCTCTACGTCGACCTGACTGAAAGGTAAGTCGTGTGCCGTCCACGCTCACCGCACCATGCGGAGATAACTACTACAACGGGAGCTAGGCTACGGGCTAGCACGGGTGCTCGTGTGATCTCTGCGTCCGTTGGTCCTTAGTCGTTTTCCTAGTGCACACACAGCTCGCTAGTTCACAGGGAGAATTGGCAAGAGTTTCACTAGAGAAAGTTGACAACAATGGTACAATCAGGTTGGCAAGACAAGACTACATCAGAGCTAGCATTCAGGTCGGTCGACTGCCAGCGCAGCATGGTCGACCGCGTTCCAGCAGTGCAAAGTCGACGGCGTGCCAACGCTGCAGGTCAACGGCGTGCCAGCGTTGCTCCCGCAGAGCAGCAGCGCACCAGCTTCGTAGGTGCTCGCAGATGATTGGCGTGCTGAGCCTCGTCACCTGCACAACGCACACACCAAGTCATCCTCGTGCTGACGACTCCACTTGATCCGCCACGTCGACCTCGGGATACCACCACCGAGGTCAGTCTCGCCAACATCGCCTGGGCGACCGTCGCACTCTTCTGCAGAACCTTGCTACCCCAGGTAACCACGTCGACCAGGTGCTCCTGTATGTGCCCGTCGACCTCCCAAGTCGACGACCACCTCCATTCGACCTCACCAGGTCGACCACACCCCTGGTCGACCAGGCCCAGGTCGACGTCACTCCTGGTCGACCAGCTCCACGTCGACCAGCACAGTCGTCAGCTGACCACCCAAGTCGGCTGCCAGAAGTCGGCGTCACCAAATCGGCGCCGACTTCCGGGCCGACCTCTTGAAGTCGGCGACCTTGCAAGTCGGTGACCTTGCAAGTCGGTGACGTTGCAAGTCGGTGACCTTGCAAGTCGGCGACCTTGCAAGTCGGTGACCTTGCAAGTCGGCGCCGACTTCCAGGTCGACGTGCCATATCACCGACCACCAGTTGAAGTCGTCCGCCGGCTTCCCAAGTCGGCGGCATTGCAGTGGCCCCGTGCAAGTCGACCAACCCCGTCGACCAGCTCGCCCAAGTCGGCGTCGCCCACTGCTGCAAGTTGGCTGTACCTCCCGTACACCCAACCACAAAGTCGGCTCCGCCCAAGCGAGGACGGGGGCCAACACACATTTCCCGTTGACAGGGGAGGGGAGGGGGCCCATATTTTCGTCGCAAGGCGTCAGGGTAGAACTATCAGAGAAGCCGGAAATGCGTGAGGCATCAGGCGTCAGAGCGTGGTACATTGTGGTGGGGAATCGGGATCTGGAGGGAAGCTGTTCGTGTAAAACACGAAGCAAGACACCCTTACACTTGCCTATGTCACTTCTCTGAAGCGCCACATTGATCACCCCAGCTCTTCTTTCAGTACAGCATGAAGCTGACGATTCCCTGCACGAGGCAGTACAGAGCTCTCAGCTTATAAACTGTGCATTATGTCTTTATCATGCTCTCCCCAACTCCGTGTTTCCATTTCATGTGCTGCCGCCACCCGAGTGCAGCAAGGGTCTGGTGCAGGCAGGCAGATGCAGCAGGCAATAGAAACCTCCCTCTGTATCACGTTCATATCATGTTCTATGTTGTGTGTATCACACTCTCATGATCTGTGCTTTCCTTGCAGGTGCTGCCACCACCCGAGTGGGGCAAGGGTCTGGTGCAGAAGAGGGAGGCGGAGAGGCAGCAGGCTGACCTGGATGCTGTGGCTGCTCGGCCGTTCGCTGCCTATGAGTGAGTACACTGTAATTGTGCACACGCCCACGTCATGTGCTACTCTTGTTCGTTTTTGTGCTCACTAGTGTGGTGGTGAGATAGGAGCGGCAGCTGGAGACACATATGCTGTGGCTGCACGCCCGTTTGCTGCCTGCGGGTAAGTTTTTGGCCACAACACAGACACTCTTCATACTCATAGCCGCCCTGTCCCTAGGCTTTTCATGCCTTCTTGCAAGCAGTTCCAGTTGAATATTACGTGCATAGCCCCACGTACGCGGGTGTTACATTTCCCTCTACTTCTTTTCTGTTGTGTGTCCTCCTCACTGCTCCTCCCTCATCTTCCCGGCTGCTCTCCGTCCGACTCAAGGCCATCGCGAAGGCCCTACCTCGATCCCCTCTTCCCTCCCACCTCCTGCCACTCCATGTCCCCCCCATGTTCCCCCTGTTCCCCATGTTCCCCATGTTCCCCGTGTTCCCCCTGTTCCCCGTGTTCCCACGTTCCCCATGTTCCCCATGTTCCCCATGTTCCTCACGTTCCCCGTGCTCCCCATGTTCCCCGTGTTCCCCACGTTCCCCACGTTCCCCGTGTTCCCCGTGTTCCCCATGTTCCCCGTGTTCCCCATGTTCCCCATGTTCCCCATTTTCCCCATGTTCCCCGTGTTCCCTTTGTCCCCTGTGTCCCTGTAACTCTCCGCAGGAACGACGAGGAGCGCGATCGCATGCTCAAGAACGCGGTGCGCTTTGGTGACCCCATGGCACATCTCGTCAAGGTGAGCTGTGGTGGGGTGATGAGGTGGGGTAGGATGTTTGGGGTGGGGTGGGGTGTTGGGTTGGGGTGGGATGGTTGGGGTGGGGGCCTTTTGAGTCGACAAGTGTCACTTTGGCAACCCCATGGCGCATCTGGTGAATGTGAGGTGGCCTGGGAGGGGAAGACGGGTGCCCCTGACTGTAGCTGTGTTGGACCGTGGAGCATCTGTGAGCATCTGTGTGCATCTGTGTGCATCTGTGTGCATCTGTGTGCATCTGTGTGCTGGTCTTTCTACATGGACTTTATTGGAAACGTTGAGCTTTGTCATACGTCCTCCTTGATGCACTAAGTTGTGACAGCCACTTCTTTCCTCCCTACCTCCCACAGGGCAACCAATGGCTGATGCCCTTTCAGAAGGCCTATGTCGCAAGCTATCAGCAGAGGGCTTATTACAAGCCATCTTCTTAGACGTGATCCTCTTCCCCCTTCCTCTCCCCCCCCCCCCCCCCCCACACCCACACCTGTATACACACGCAGAGCAACATATCAGTTGATGCTCTCCTGGAGGACCTCAGTCGCGACCCCGCCATGCAGGCTTCGTGCTTCACCGTGCCACTGGCCATCCCCTTAACCCTCCCCCTCTTCATAAAGCCACGGGCCGTCTCCTTACCCTTTGTCCCCTCCACCGCCCCCCATTCCTCCCCTCCCATCCACAGAGAGCAACATGTCAGCGGATGCTCTCCTGGAGGACCTCATTCGCGAACCCGCCATGCAGGCTTCGTGCTTCACCGTGCCACAGGCTGACATCCTAACCGTTATCCCCCCCACCTTCTTCGTCCTCCCCCACACCTGCATACCCGCAGAGCAACATATCAGCGGACGCCCTGCTGGAGGACATGAGTCGAGACCCAGCCATGCAGGCCTCGGGCTTCACAGTACCACAGGCCATCCCACCCCACAGCTGGCTCAAGCGCCGTGTGTCCGCCCCGCACAACCGCTACGGCATCCGCCCCGGCCGCCACTGGGACGGTGTTGATCGCAGCAACGGTGAGTCGTTCCTGCCCTTCTCCTTCCCCCATCCTCTCCATATGATTGCTTCCCTTTGCTGCATTCGTTTGTGTTTCTGGTTTCATTTGCTCATTTTCCCTAGTGTGGCATGTATGGGAGATTTTTGGCATGGAAATCATGAGTTGAGTGGACATGCATGTCAACTATTTTCGACCTAGCCGTGGCGTACATCTAATGAATACTGCTACACTCGAGCGTTGTTCCACCATTGATTGCAGCAATGTTGAGTCGACCGCATCAACATCATGCCTTGAGTCAGCATGCATGTCAATAATTTTCGACTGGTCCTGGTTTCGAATGAATGAGGACCACTACACACAAGCGTTACTCCTATCTCAGAAATGAGCTCTGGTATCTTAGAATTGCGCTCTGAGTCAAAATGACTGACTGTTGAATTCAGTCTGCCAATCTATATTCTTGTTTACCTATCCACTCGTGCCATTCCAGACACATTTGAGTGCGAGATGTTCAGCTCTGCATGCCTTCCACCTTTCTGTTTTTTTAGTCGACCCAGAAGTCACCTCATCAGCATTTTTCTGGTGAATGCTGACAAAATGACCTTGCCTAACCTTCCCACCCCACTCGCCTCGTGTGCTCACCGCACTGGCAGGGTTCGAGCGGGAGATGTTCAAGCAGAAGAACGAGATGCAGGCGCGGGAGCAGGAGGCCTACATGTGGTCCGTTGCCGACATGTGACACTCATGTGGCATGTCCACTGGTGCGAGTGTGTCGTGGACAATTTGCTTGGTTGGAGGTGTCGGGCCGGGACTCGTGTGTCACAACACAAGTGGAGGGATGATTTACCAATAAACGTGTCACAGTGTACTCATTCCCATATGAAATGAAGTACGGAGTCAAGCAAGCAGGCACAAGTGGAAACAGGTTGAAGGGCAGTGGTGTACAGTACACTCAAGAAGCAAATCTGTCCAAAGATGCACCTGTCCGTAAGACCCTGAGTTGAGCGGCTATTTCAATCGGATGTGTCATTTCTCTATGCTTGTTTGCGTTGTTACTGTGCTTCCCATTCACCAGAATAAAGTGAAAACAAATCGTACGGAATCGTGAGCCTTCAATACGACAATCATTATTCACACAGAAGAGCCTTCCACCACTTCCCCTACTGTGCCGGGCACATCATCATACTTGACGGGCACGCACAGCCGCTGCTTCACGGACACTCGCTGTTCTCCCCCCTGTGCCTTGCGCACACCTTGCACTGCGGCCACTCCACATGTGCCACCTCTCTCCTCACCCCTGCTCGACAGCGCTGCGATCTCTGAGGCACCACCGTCCACACTGCTGCTCGCACCTGCATGTGCCCCTTCTCCTTGCAAAACAACCTTGTGCTGATCAAGCTCACACTGCTCCCCCATGCACGGCTGCACCCCTGCACACACCGCCTCCTCGCACTCACCATCCACCTCCATAGGATCCTCCTCGCCTTCCCTCCCATGGATGTCACCCACACCATTGGCTGCCACGTCACCCACACCAATGGCTGCCACGTCACCCACACCATTGGCTGCCACGTCACCCACACCAATGGCTGCCACGGCACCCACACCATTGGTTGCCACCTCACCCACACCATTGGCTGCCACGTTATCCACATCACCTACCTTCAACGCAGCGTCTCCATCAGGCACGCTCAGACCAACAGTGGCACAATCACCTTCACGCCATTCTCCCACTTCCCCCTCTTCCAACCCTTCCCCAGCGCCATTGCCAGCCATGACCGCACAGCGCCATGCATGCAGCACCTGCCTCACACTGCCACCCGCTGCTCCTTCGTCCAGCCGTACCTTCTCCTCCACATCCACGCCCGCACTCACACGCACCCCATTCTTCTCCTCACCCACACGCCCCCCCTTCTGCTCTACACTCGCTCGCACTTTCTTCCTTTCATGCACTTCCCAAGGCCCCTCTGCCAACCCCTCGTCCCCCTCACTGCCTCGCGCCCTGCTGCTCCCCTCTCCTAGTCTCCCACTCTGTCTCCCTCCGCTCATCCTCTCCGCCCTTTCTACGAATCCAACCACAACCCCCATTACGGCCTCTTCTCCACACCCCCCTCCCCCTCCTTCCCTCTCGCCCTCATCCCCATCCTGCAGTGGCACCTCGTCCGCTCCATCCACCCTCTTATCTTCCGCCATGCCCCTCCCCCAATCATCTACCACGCAACGCCCCAAAGACTGCCTGCCACCCCGCGCCACTACTTGCTTGCCACCCGGACCCAAGACCCTGTGCCGCGTCAGCAGCAGCAGCCGCAACGTCAGCAGCATGTAGCCGCGCATCATCACGAGTGGAGCCCTCAAGCAAGAGGCTCATGGCTTCCGTGCCCTCCCTGTCACCACCGCTAGAAGCAGCGGTGCCTCCATGATCTGAACCACCAGCGCCCTCTCCTCCCTTGTGCTGCCTCCTCCTCTTCTTGCTCGCCTGCCCCCGCTCTCTGCACTTCTGCGCACACACAGCCACACAGCAGCACATCAGAGGACGAATGGATGGATGGATGGTCACAATGTATTGAAAGGAGCAATGTGTTGAAAGGAGCAATGTGTTGAAAGGAGCAATGTGTTGAAAGGAGCAATGTGTTGAAAGGAGCAATGTGTTGAAAGGAGCAATGTGTTGAAAGGAGCAATGTGTTGAAAGGAGCAATGTGGTGAAAGGAGCAATGTGGTGAAAGGAGCAATGTGTTGAAAGGAGCAATGTGGTGAAAGGAGCAATGTGGTGAAAGGAGGAATGTGGTGAAAGGAGCAATGTGGTGAAAGGAGCAATGTGGTGAAAGGAGCAATGTGTTGAAAGGAGCAATGTAGTGAAAGGAGCAATGTAGTGAAAGGAGCAATGTAGTGAAAGGAGCAATGTAGTGAGAGGAGCAATGTAGTGAAAGGAGCAATGTAGTGAGAGGAGCAATGTAGTGAGAGGAGCAATGTAGTGAGAGGAGCAATGTAGTGAGAGGAGCAATGTAGTGAGAGGAGCAATGTAGTGAGAGGAGCAATGTAGTGAGAGGAGCAATGTAGTGAGAGGAGCAATGTAGTGAGAGGAGCAATGTAGTGAGAGGAGCAATGTAGTGAGAGGAGCAATGTAGTGAGAGGAGCAATGTAGTGAGAGGAGCAATGTAGTGAGAGGAGCAATGTAGTGAGAGGAGCAATGTAGTGAGAGGAGCAATGTAGTGAGAGGAGCAATGTAGTGAGAGGAGCAATGTAGTGAGAGGAGCAATGTAGTGAGAGGAGCAATGTAGTGAGAGGAGCAATGTAGTGAGAGGAGCAATGTAGTGAGAGGAGCAATGTAGTGAGAGGAGCAATGCAATGTAGTGAGAGGAGCAATGTAGTGAGAGGAGCAATGTAGTGAGAGGAGCAATGTAGTGAGAGGAGCAATGTAGTGAGAGGAGCAATGTAGTGAGAGGAGCAATGTAGTGAGAGGAGCAATGTAGTGAGAGGAGCAATGTAGTGAGAGGAGCAATGTAGTGAGAGGAGCAATGTAGTGAGAGGAGCAATGTAGTGAGAGGAGCAATGTAGTGAGAGGAGCAATGTAGTGAGAGGAGCAATGTAGTGAGAGGAGCAATGTAGTGAGAGGAGCAATGTAGTGAGAGGAGCAATGTAGTGAGAGGAGCAATGTAGTGAGAGGAGCAATGTAGTGAGAGGAGCAATGTAGTGAGAGGAGCAATGTAGTGAGAGGAGCAATGTAGTGAGAGGAGCAATGTAGTGAGAGGAGCAATGTAGTGAGGAGCAATGTAGTGAGAGGAGCAATGTAGTGAGAGGAGCAATGTAGTGAGAGGAGCAATGTAGTGAGAGGAGCAATGTAGTGAGAGGAGCAATGTAGTGAGAGGAGCAATGTAGTGAGAGGAGCAATGTAGTGAGAGGAGCAATGTAGTGAGAGGAGCAATGTAGTGAGAGGAGCAATGTAGTGAGAGGAGCAATGTAGTGAGAGGAGCAATGTAGTGAGAGGAGCAATGTAGTGAGAGGAGCAATGTAGTGAGAGGAGCAATGTAGTGAGAGGAGCAATGTAGTGAGAGGAGCAATGTAGTGAGAGGAGCAATGTAGTGAGAGGAGCAATGTAGTGAGAGGAGCAATGTAGTGAGAGGAGCAATGTAGTGAGAGGAGCAATGTAGTGAGAGGAGCAATGTAGTGAGAGGAGCAATGTAGTGAGAGGAGCAATGTAGTGAGAGGAGCAATGTAGTGAGAGGAGCAATGTAGTGAGAGGAGCAATGTAGTGAGAGGAGCAATGTAGTGAGAGGAGCAATGTAGTGAGAGGAGCAATGTAGTGAGAGGAGCAATGTAGTGAGAGGAGCAATGTAGTGAGAGGAGCAATGTAGTGAGAGGAGCAATGTAGTGAGAGGAGCAATGTAGTGAGAGGAGCAATGTAGTGAGAGGAGCAATGTAGTGAGAGGAGCAATGTAGTGAGAGGAGCAATGTAGTGAGAGGAGCAATGTAGTGAGAGGAGCAATGTAGTGAGAGGAGCAATGTAGTGAGAGGAGCAATGTAGTGAGAGGAGCAATGTAGTGAGAGGAGCAATGTAGTGAGAGGAGCAATGTAGTGAGAGGAGCAATGTAGTGAGAGGAGCAATGTAGTGAGAGGAGCAATGTAGTGAGAGGAGCAATGTAGTGAGAGGAGCAATGTAGTGAGAGGAGCAATGTAGTGAGAGGAGCAATGTAGTGAGAGGAGCAATGTAGTGAGAGGAGCAATGTAGTGAGAGGAGCAATGTAGTGAGAGGAGCAATGTAGTGAGAGGAGCAATGTAGTGAGAGGAGCAATGTAGTGAGAGGAGCAATGTAGTGAGAGGAGCAATGTAGTGAGAGGAGCAATGTAGTGAGAGGAGCAATGTAGTGAGAGGAGCAATGTAGTGAGAGGAGCAATGTAGTGAGAGGAGCAATGTAGTGAGAGGAGCAATGTAGTGAGAGGAGCAATGTACTGAGAGGAGCAATGTACTGAGAGGAGCAATGTACTGAGAGGAGCAATGTAGTGAGAGGAGCAATGTAGTGAGAGGAGCAATGTAGTGAGAGGAGCAATGTAGTGAGAGGAGCAATGTAGTGAGAGGAGCAATGTAGTGAGAGGAGCAATGTAGTGAGAGGAGCAATGTAGTGAGAGGAGCAATGTAGTGAGAGGAGCAATGTAGTGAGAGGAGCAATGTAGTGAGAGGAGCAATGTAGTGAGAGGAGCAATGTAGTGAGAGGAGCAATGTAGTGAGAGGAGCAATGTAGTGAGAGGAGCAATGTAGTGAGAGGAGCAATGTAGTGAGAGGAGCAATGTAGTGAGAGGAGCAATGTAGTGAGAGGAGCAATGTAGTGAGAGGAGCAATGTAGTGAGAGGAGCAATGTAGTGAGAGGAGCAATGTAGTGAGAGGAGCAATGTAGTGAGAGGAGCAATGTAGTGAGAGGAGCAATGTAGTGAGAGGAGCAATGTAGTGAGAGGAGCAATGTAGTGAGAGGAGCAATGTAGTGAGAGGAGCAATGTAGTGAGAGGAGCAATGTAGTGAGAGGAGCAATGTAGTGAGAGGAGCAATGTAGTGAGAGGAGCAATGTAGTGAGAGGAGCAATGTAGTGAGAGGAGCAATGTAGTGAGAGGAGCAATGTAGTGAGAGGAGCAATGTAGTGAGAGGAGCAATGTAGTGAGAGGAGCAATGTAGTGAGAGGAGCAATGTAGTGAGAGGAGCAATGTAGTGAGAGGAGCAATGTAGTGAGAGGAGCAATGTAGTGAGAGGAGCAATGTAGTGAGAGGAGCAATGTAGTGAGAGGAGCAATGTAGTGAGAGGAGCAATGTAGTGAGAGGAGCAATGTAGTGAGAGGAGCAATGTAGTGAGAGGAGCAATGTAGTGAGAGGAGCAATGTAGTGAGAGGAGCAATGTAGTGAGAGGAGCAATGTAGTGAGAGGAGCAATGTAGTGAGAGGAGCAATGTAGTGAGAGGAGCAATGTAGTGAGAGGAGCAATGTAGTGAGAGGAGCAATGTAGTGAGAGGAGCAATGTAGTGAGAGGAGCAATGTAGTGAGAGGAGCAATGTAGTGAGAGGAGCAATGTAGTGAGAGGAGCAATGTAGTGAGAGGAGCAATGTAGTGAGAGGAGCAATGTAGTGAGAGGAGCAATGTACTGAGAGGAGCAATGTACTGAGAGGAGCAATGTAGTGAGAGGAGCAATGTAGTGAGAGGAGCAATGTAGTGAGAGGAGCAATGTAGTGAGAGGAGCAATGTAGTGAGAGGAGCAATGTAGTGAGAGGAGCAATGTACTGAGAGGAGCAATGTACTGAGAGGAGCAATGTAGTGAGAGGAGCAATGTAGTGAGAGGAGCAATGTAGTGAGAGGAGCAATGTAGTGAGAGGAGCAATGTAGTGAGAGGAGCAATGTAGTGAGAGGAGCAATGTAGTGAGAGGAGCAATGTAGTGAGAGGAGCAATGTTGTGAGAGGAGCAATGTAGTGAGAGGAGCAATGTACTGAGAGGAGCAATGTACTGAGAGGAGCAATGTAGTGAGAGGAGCAATGTAGTGAGAGGAGCAATGTAGTGAGAGGAGCAATGTAGTGAGAGGAGCAATGTAGTGAGAGGAGCAATGTAGTGAGAGGAGCAATGTAGTGAGAGGAGCAATGTAGTGAGAGGAGCAATGTAGTGAGAGGAGCAATGTAGTGAGAGGAGCAATGTAGTGAGAGGAGCAATGTAGTGAGAGGAGCAATGTAGTGAGAGGAGCAATGTAGTGAGAGGAGCAATGTAGTGAGAGGAGCAATGTAGTGAGAGGAGCAATGTAGTGAGAGGAGCAATGTAGTGAGAGGAGCAATGTAGTGAGAGGAGCAATGTAGTGAGAGGAGCAATGTAGTGAGAGGAGCAATGTAGTCAGAGGAGCAATGTAGTGAGAGGAGCAATGTAGTCAGAGGAGCAATGTAGTCAGAGGAGCAATGTAGTCAGAGGAGCAATGTAGTCAGAGGAGCAGTGTAGTGAGAGGAGCAATGTAGTCAGAGGAGCAATGTAGTCAGAGGAGCAATGTAGTCAGAGGAGCAATGTAGTCAGAGGAGCAATGTAGTCAGAGGAGCAATGTAGTCAGAGGAGCAATGTAGTCAGAGGAGCAATGTA